GTACGTATCCAAAACCTAATTATATTACATTCCAGATAGAACATTTCTGTCTAAATATCCCCAATTTCATTTTTGAAACAAAGTTAGATACATCAAAAATTGATCTTTTCAAGACATTTTAGTTCCCTCAATGAACTATTATATGGCGTTACCATTAATCATGGTAGGTTTTATGACTGTGAATGATTCCAAACTAATTTTAAACTTTTTTTTTTATTTTTCGTATTAGATACTGATGTGAAAAGGATTGAAGCAAAACAAATTACATGTAGCCAACTGTCAATGTCATTGTTTGACCTCCTGTACTCTGAAGGAATTGTAAGAGAAAGTGGACATATTTCAAAATGCCTCGATGAATATGTGGATGATTTTGTTATTTCAGATGAACTCCGTAAGGTAATGAGTCACTTCTTTTTGATTCACATTCAAATTGTTGTAAGCTATATAACGGGATTTAAAATGTCCAGTCGTTTTGTTTTTGTAAAAATGCTTTAGTGCGTATTAATGTGGGATATGTTTGTGCTCTTGGTCAGTGAGCGTGAATGCATGGGTATGTATGTGGAGTGTCTGCGTGTAGATCTTTGTACGAGTGTGTGCAGGAATGTGTTTGCAGGATAAAACTTACAAGGAAAGGTTAAAGGATCTTAACATGTATGGATTGGGGGAAATCCTATCCTTTAACATGGTTTCCAATACTTTCCCCACTACTGAAGTAAGGCTTACTGGCCTATAGTTGCCGACTCCTCCCTATTACCTTTCTTGGGAATGGGCACAACATTCGCTAACTTCCAATCTTCTGGGACTACTCCCGTTAACAATGATTGGTTAAATAAATCTGTTAACTTTTATTCTAGTACACCACTAAGTTATTTTAATAACTTTCGGTGTATCCCATAAGGCCCCATCTGCTTATTTGTTTTTACTTTAGACAGCTGAAATAGAACCCCTTCCTCTATAAACTCACATGTAACAAATGATTTTGTTTAACCCCTTAAGGACCAAACTTCTGGAATAAAAAGGAAACATGACATATCACACATGTCATGTGTCCTTAAGGGGTTAAACCATCCCTTAAGGTGAACCAGCACAATAACAACTTCATTTTTATGAAGTTGTTATGGTGCCCGGCGTGTTCCTACTTATTTGTTTTCTATTTTGTTTTTTAAATAATCTGTTAAAAAGAACACTCCAAATTGCTAAAGTACTTCAGCTTGCTGAAGTTCTTTAGGGGTTAACATTGTGTCCCTTCCTTGTCCAAAGGGGAGATTTTGAAGTTTGCACCTTTCCAATCCGTTAGAATTTCCTGATTTCTTTGTGCCTGAGTACTCAGCTGAAGCCGGTGTGTCTCATAGGATACAATGCTTCTCTATTAAAAGCATTACAGGGCAGCATGCAATTGCTGCACGTACACCATGTATCCCAGTGATTTGCCAGGAGATCTGATGATCTCCCAGTGGGTACAGTGGCACAACTTGTTTAGAGTTAATGTACTGGACAGAAAGGGGGCCTGGGAGACTCTACAATACACTGTGATTATAAATAAATGTATATATTTATAACTATATGTTTATACCTGGGGTGTTCCTTTTAATTGCTTTAGATTTATTTGGATTAAACATTAGGTTTTTACTTGTATGTTCTTTCAATTTAATCATCACTTCTATCTTTTGTCTCTTTAAGGTCCTTCTACTTGAAGATTTTGAAAAATACGACATTTTCAGCCAGTCTGATAGAGAAGAATTTCTGTTTCTCCTCTTCAAACATCTATGTCTTGGAGGAGCTCTGTGCCAGTACGAAGATGCAATTGACCCTTATTTAGAGACAACAAAATCTATTTATAAAGACCTTCTAAGGTAAGAATGCATAATTTCTCTTACTTTAATCATGCAACCAAAAAGAAATCAACTACAAAACACACAAAACATTTGCTTATATTAAGGAGCACTAAATGTCACCTATACATGGTGCTAACAGAAATTCTGACACATGTATAGATTTTAATGTAATGCTCTTTAAAATACAGACTATTTGGCAGTCCGCCGTAATCATAGATCTTTTTACCAAGAATTGAGTGACAAGGGAGAGCATGAGAACCCTCTACAGGCGGTAGCAGTCCGGGACAAGAGGGTGTCTTTTTTTTTTGGGTGGGTGGGACAGTTTATTTTGTTTTTCATTGTCATCCTGGTTTTGCTAAATATGAATTTGAAAACCCTCCTCTAGCCCTAGCAGGGGTAAATAATTTCTTCCTTTGTCCCACAGCCCCTAGTGATGTTGTATACTACAGACCAAGTGTATGCAACATTAGGCACTCCAGATTTTGTAGACATTTCCCATAATGCTGGAAGGTTGCCTAACCCTGCTATAGACCATCACTCACTTTTTCCTTGTCGTAACAAATGACGAACGAGAAGAAGCTTTATTGGTAAGAAAATTGCATTTTAGACCCCTGTCTCTTACGGTTACGCTTAATATATCTATTTATTTCACCACTGATTTTATAAAGCCCTCACTACATCTCTGCTGATGTAAATAATTTTTTAACATAGCACCTGTTGATGTTGTTGTACCGGGAGCTCCCACTTCCACTCACAGTTTTCAATAAGATCTGACATCAGACCACTATGGCATGATGCCACGTCAGTTGGATGCCTGGGGGAGCCTGGGGAAGTCTTCTGCCAGAGTCTGGCAATCTTTGTTTTTTTCCATGATGAAACGTGATTTGAGGGGATTTAAATGACCAGCATACCCTGTTCATCACTTGTCCTGAAGGATTTTAAGGAAAATTGTCATAATTTCTCATTATTATTTAAAATAAAATAATATACATTTTATCTCCTGTATGCATGATTTTTTTTTTTTAGATTTTTTTTTTAATGCATACAAATAAGTAAACGCCTTTTCAGTTCATCTCCTGGCTTAGAATCGGAAGCACTGATCCTCTGACCAAAACTGTGCAATAGTTAGTGGATGTTCATGAATCCTAACATCATGTACATGCACCGGACATCACTAAAATGCAATCTGGATAGTTTCAGCTCTCCAGTAATAAACAATCAAACTTCATTACATATAAAAAATATATATATATATATTTTTTTGCACTAATGATAAAAAGTGACACATGTTTTCGTTTGAGTGCTAGCATATTACAACATATCCATATGCTGTACAATTGTGGAGTGGATGAAGACAACAATATTCAACAGAACATGTTTCTGTAGAGATGCAATGTAAGTTGAAGACACTGCCCATGAGCTTACAGTATAGTGTGATGGTACATTTACACAAGGGTTCTCACAAGAATAGAGGGCTTATGAGGATCATTGTCATGAACCTTCATGCAATTTATTCACCACTGAGTCCCCGTGTTTGTTCTGTTAATGAAATGTAACTTTGGATGGGATGTCAAGTCATCAGAACAAAGCAGATCGTATTAGAGGAAATTGTAACAGGATTGCATAGTCCCTGCATGCAGATCCTGTTGCTGCTAACCCTAGGTTGTATCTCTTCTCTTACATATACAATTGCCTCAAGCAAGGGATCACAGGCATGCTGTCCTAGTGTAGCTCAGCAGGAAGTGCAAAGGCTATTACCTATAACCCCAGGACCAGAAACTACCATCCCTCCAGCTTTTATCTTTTTAAATGAGACCTGCAGTGTGTACGTTATTAGTTTTTAAACAGATTTATATCCTAACCTGACTAAGCCTTTTTGGCTCTTGGATTAAAAGGTAATCAACACCCATCCCATTAACTATGGCTCCCCTCTTAGTTCAAAATACACCCCCAGTAATATGCTTCTGGTCTTCTTTTAATAAAACTAATTTCACATAGTCATGTATATGAGATTAACTAGGAATTAATGTCTTTGTTTTATCCTCCTTGCCAAAGTCTATAGTATTCCCCTTTGCTTTAGAGTGACTTAAATATATCCAGCTCCAACTTGATTTTCCATGAGTTGGGCATACGTTAACTTTAGTACCACTGGAGTTGGCATTAAATTGCTCCAAGCTTGTTTATTGAGATGGCAGAGTAATAGGTATGCAAATTCATCATATTTCACCTGAATACCAAATTTGATCAATCGTTTTGGTTTATATCCAAGAATACACATTGACCATTGCTGCTCTTTTTAATCATACAGTTAAAAGAATATTTATTTAAAAAAATTTTTTTATAATTGAAGTTTATTGTTTTACATTCAGTTAATACATCTGCTATAATTCACATTAACATTGTCACATCCTTCAGTATACAGAGTTAAACAGTATCAATACATGTGCCAGGTCAAACATCCTAACATACATTATATTATACAGTGTTCCATACATTTTCCCCTGTGTTGTTGTGTACTGTGTATACCCATCCATCGATAGAGTTACGTGGTAAAGAGTACAAACTATAATAATTGTTAATATTTTTTTTATATATAACAGAAGGGTTATTTTTTGTACAACTTTTTTTCCACTGTAAAACATGAACCTGCCAATATTTCAAACACAGTGGCCTTTGTCATGCTTGTCGTAATTCATGTTTGGTGCAATAAAGAGCCACGTAAAATATATCCTGTTTTTTTGTTGTTTTTTTTTGTAGCTGTATATCTGTCTTATGTGTGGGTATACACTGGAATGAGCTTTTAGCCGAGCAGTTTAAATCCAAGTTTAGGTCTA